CAACCAGCTTCAGTCACTCTTGTGACTGCTTGTGGCTTTGGTCAGGAATTAAGGAATTGTGTGTTGGTTTGTTCTAAGTTCTATTTTCAGATCTCTGTTACTCTCTTCCTCCCCTCACTTCTTAGATTTCAAAGTTAGTGCCCCCTGCCCAAAGAATACAAAATATCTTATTAATTTTTATGTTGATCCATATTGAAATGAGCATGTTTTTTATGTGTTAGATTAAATACAATATGTTATTAAAATTAATCTCACCTGTTTCTTTTTACTTTTTCTAATGTGGCTACTAGACATTATGGCTTGCATTATTTTCGCATTGGATAGCATGTTCTAGAGGTCTGCTCCTGCTCCATGAAAGGAATGAAGTACTAAATCATGCTGTATGGAAGGACTTCAAAAGCATTAGGCTCAGTGAAAGAAGCATAAGGCCACATCTCTCATGATTCCATTTGTAGGAAATGTCCAGAATAGGTAGATCTGAAGAGGCAGAGAATGGATTAGTAGATTCATGGTTTCCAGGGGCTGGAGGTGAGAAGATGGAGAGACTGTGAATTGGCACAAGGGATCTTTCCCATGTGATGGAAATGCTCTAACATTGAATTGTAGGTGACGGCTGCATAACTTTGGATATTAACTAAAAATTATTGAGGTGTACATTTCAAGTGGGTGAACTTTATGATCTATAAATTATGCCTCAGTAAAACTGTTCAAAATTAAAAAGGGGGCAATCTAGGAGTCCAGGGGGATGTGGAATCTGGAGATAAGATTAGGGAGTCCTCAGTAAGCATTTGAGATCGCCTAGAGAGGGTGCACAGAAAGAGAAGAGAAGGAGGTGCAGGTATATGTTCTAGGAGCATTCCGACATTTAGAGGTTGGAGGTGGGCAGATGAGGAGGTGACAACGAGAGAAACTGAGGAGCAGCCTGGAGGGGAGGAAGGACACCTGAGATAAGGACCTGGGAAGTGTGGATCCATGAAAAGCAGGAGGAGAACGCTTCTAAGAGGAAGGGAGCAATGAGCTGAGTTGATAGTGCTGCGAAGTCAGATGAGAGCGGAGAGAGCATGGGACTCAGCCACACAGAGCTGGCTCCATGGAGTGGTGAGGGCAGAAGCCACGCAGTTGGGGAGGGAGGAGGAACAGTGACTGACAGCTCCTTTGGGAAGTGCTGCTGTACGGAGAGCTGAGAAATGAGGACGTAGTTGGAGGGAAAGCTAAAAAGCTAGCATATACATATCCAGAATATGTTTCTATGCGAATGGAATGATCTAGAAGGGAGGGGATTGGTAATACTAGCTAGAGAGAGAGGAGGCACTTGCAGGAACAGGGCTCCTGAGAAAGGTAGAGGGAGGGGACCCAGAGCACAGGGAGAAGGCCTGGGCTTTGGCAGAAGCAGGGTGCTTCCTCAGGAGTACCAGCAAGTAGCGGGTGAGTGGGTGGGTGCAGGTAGGTGGGCAGGTCTCTTGGAGGCAACACCAAGACCCCATCTTACTGATTTTTCTTTTCCACGGAAGGAAGTGAGCAAGTCCTCAGCTGTGAATGAAGGCAGCAAGGATGGGAGTGGGTAGCAGGGTTGAGGAACAACAAGAAAGTATCTTGTGACTGATACACTTCAGGGCCAGTGAATCTTTATTGATATAAAGCAATGCCAGTTACCGGCTTTAGCGTGCAGAGGGAATCCCCCGGGGGTGCTTGTTAAAATGTAGATTCAGGGGTTCTTATCTTAGAGTCTGACTCAGGAGGCCCATGCAAGAGCCCAGAAACCTGCATTTTTAGCAAGGGTCCCAGGTGGGACTCTGATGCAGACAGCAGACTGTAGTTTGAGAATCACTGAAAAAATGTATGTGAACAATAAAAATGAAATGTATGTGAACATAGCCCCACCGATAGGAGGTACTTGGGATGTGATAAGAGGCAGTTCTTTCCAACAGACCATACCTCAGGTATGGTTTTGTTCTTCATTTCACAAATAACCAAGACCAGTTGTTTTTTGTTTTTAGGAAAAATAAATGAATGTTCTCTGGTTAAAAAACAACTAAACATCAATATATACCTTTCTTTCCAGGGGAAAGAGCAGACTGTGGCACAACCAGGTAAGAGCTGGGCATCTTGTTTTGTCTCAACTGCTACCCTGCGGTGGGAGGGGAGGAAGTGGGAGGAGTAGGAGAGGAGGGGAGGGGAAGGCAGAAAACAGACACTGCTGAGAGCTCAGATGGGCTGGGGTTTCTGAGAGCGGGCCAGCGCTTCCCCACTGTCCCGAGGGGATGGTGTTTTTGTGGCTGTTCTGCTGGTTCTAGCCTTAGATGGAAGCCATGCCCCCGCCAGGCTGGTGATGGGGAGGGTGCTTTCAGAGCTGCTATGGGTCAGTGGGGTACCCCCCACTCCATGGCACTGGCCATCCACTGAGACAGTAATATGTATTGCAGTGGCTGAGGGCAACCGGTAGAGGGCAGAGGCTGTGCGGTAGCAGTTGACTTGTCTTCCTATCTGTTATATGGCTGCTGAGCAAACTGCCCAGCTGAGCTGGGGGGCCCAGCCTAGGGTCCCCATTTGCCAAGGCTTTGGATTTGGCTGGAATTGCACACATCTGGACATATGCATGCGCATACCCACATAAGCGTGCGCAGACGCCCCGAACCCTGGCTTTGGACCTCACCCGCACTTGGATGGGGAGTCCCTCGTTGGGAAAATAACAAACGGGCAACTCTGCTTTCTCTCCAGCTTGCTCAGCATTACCCTTTGCGCTTTCCCCTGAGCAGACCAGAGCCAGTGAACACTTTCCACTCAGCAGCTGGTAGCTGACGGCTGACTTCAGCGACTGGACCATTCCTCCACTTTCCGAGTTTAGATCCATAAGCAGGCCTATCATTGCCCAGGTTGTTCTTAGAGCCCGTCTGTTCCGAGCTCCCAGCAATAGCTCTCCTACTGCCCAACATGCATTCAGCCATGACCCAGAGGACTGCCCTTTTCCATCAGGTGCCTCACCCTGGGCCCGGTGACCTGATCACATCCTTCCCCACAAATTCTTCCCCATGACCCAGAATCCTGGAAAGCTGTCGTACTTGGCAGGAGGGAGGATGAACCCTGCACTCTCTCCTCATCTGGAAGGGAATTGGCTGGGAAGAGGCTTGGAAAGCCCTGGGGTTTTCAATTTGCCAGGCCCAGGATGGCGGAGACTGAGGGCGTCCAGAAGTTTAGCCTGTGCAACTGCCCCTCTGGGAACATCTGGATGATTCATTATGCCAGGCGAGGACCTCTGGCACATGGGTCAGTAGATGTGCAGGGTTACTTTCTAAGAAACTTTTAGAAACAGACCCTTTATTTATGTACTTATTTATTTATTTATTCTGGCAAGAGGGTGTTATCTCAGTCCCAAAGCAACAGAAGCCACATTTTACACCAAAATTTGCAAATGGTAAAACAGATGGGGGATGACTTGAACTGTCCCCCGTTTCCTGTGAATTCCTAGAATTTACGTGGGAGAAGATTGTTCCAGCAGGTTGCAGCAGAGAGCTGTCATCAGTCCTTGGCCAGGTCCCAAGATCTACCTCAGAGAAAAGTAGAGGGTTTTTTATTATTTTTTATTTGGGGGGGGGGTGGGGAATTTTGTTTTTTAATAAAGCCCACGAAGATGTTGTCTTCCATACCCTCTTTGACCTAGCACCTGGGAAACCCAAGTTCGGATTACTAGGCCTCCCACTTGGACACATTGCACTATATTGAAAACCCAACCGTCTGCGCTCTGGTCCTTGGCCAAGGTCAAAGGCAAATTTGTTAGTAAACTAAAAGCTTCCCCTTACTCTCACAAATCATTTTTAACTTACTGTGCAATGAATTGTCAACTTGGTAATGGTTTTTAAGTTCATCTGAAAGGCTCTGGGTGAGATGTTTCTATACTGTGGCCCTCTATTTCCTATGGTTTCCTGCCCAAGGTCAGTGTCGTTGTGGATTATCACTTGAGCAGGTCCCCTCAGCCAAGTCACAGCTGGCCTTGTATAGATAGACCAGTTTTTGCACATGAGCCTTTTCTCATACTTAAGAACCTTACCTTATGATAGCCCAAATTCATAATAGCCCTGTAATTTAGGCTGAACAGACACAATAATGCATTTGAAAAGTGTATGGTAAAATGTCAAAGCCAGATGCAAGTGTAAGGTTTGATCATTCAAACTAAAGACTGCCTTCCCTAATCCAGGTCGATTTGCCCCTATGGTCTGGATTAGAGGTGAAATCACTGGAGATTTCTGTCCAAACAGATACAACCCAACGAACACCCATGCATAGCCTCCAAAAACCTGACCACCATTGGACTGCAATATTTGGACATTTTATTATCTGGGGAAGAATCTAATCACCATCCTTTTGGTCACAGTAATTTTGAGGCCAAGTGCTGTGTTGCCAACATACGTTAATTTTCATCTTGGTTGAAAGGCAGAAAGGGGACATTGGTCTCTGGTTTCTCTATCTTCCTCTCTGTGGCTTTCTCTGTTCCCGTTTTCCCTGCCTCTCTCTCTTTCTTTCTTTCCTTTTTGCTCTGCAACTGAGCAGCAGAAGAGATGGAAGGCTTAGGCTGCCCCACTTTCCTTGGCTGAGCTGCCCCCCTGCTCCCCACTTTGTGCCCCACCCAGCATTTCAGTAAGTCGGTATCTATTTGATGTCATGCAAAGTTGGGATAGCTACGTTTCCTTGTCAGATTCCAGTCAGTGCACAGAACACCACACAAAGAAAGAAATACCTGTGATTCCAACAGTCTTGTTTTCTTGGATTTTTGTAAGAGAAATGGAGAAAAGTATCCTATTTTCCCTTTATTCCATTTTATCAACTTAAAGGAAAAAAATCCTTAGGACTTATTTTAAGGAAATCCACCAGCTGGGCACCAAGATATTTTGACATGGGGTGTCCAACAATTGCATTAAGAGTCTCTACTCTCGCCGGCCATGGGAGTTAATAGATAATTTAGTGCTACTGCTGAATGTTCTGTGATCAAATCAGTTTCCCAATTTTGCACTCACACATGAACCTGGAGTAGGAAGACCTGACTTCTATTCATTCCCATGACCATGGGCAAGTTTCTTAATCTCTCATCAGCTAATTTGCCTTATGTCTAAGGTGGTTTTAATAATTCTTACCTAACTCACAGCATTGTTATGAGGGTATAATGCCATGTAGGATAAGGAAATGATCTGACAACATTCAAAAACAGAAACCCAAAACACTATGAGGACAAGTTAGCAAAGTTGCTATCCTCAAGTTATTCCAAATTTCAAGACCTGAAACCTATGGCCCTGTGTCACATTTTTTGCCACTTTGTTTTGGAATTTGGAAATTAAAAAGCAGATGTGTTGTAAGAAATACCAGCCCTATATACCCACATCCTTAAAAATAAATAACTTACAAAACAGAAATGACATGGACTTAGCTAACCAAATTGACAAAAGATCCAAGATGGGCTTGAAATAATTTTGCCTGTTATTTCTTTTCAAAATTTTTGTCTGTGCTGTTATTTTGGTTCCAATGTTTGGGTGGCATGATATTTGGATTCAGCTGTGTCTTTGCCCATGCATGTCCTGGAGCTAGCAGCATTTGCTCAATACTCAAACGCCGAGAAGTTGGTTAGTGCTTCTAGGATGGCTGGGCTATTGATGAGACATGCACAAGGCCAATGGGCAGAGGCAGCATGACTCTCGTTCACCTGGATTGGCTCCAAAGCCCGTATGATTTCTTGCCCATTTACAGAACTCAATCAAGACCTGGGGACCAGGTCTTGGCTCATCCTGTGCGGACGTTATCTGTGCCTGGCTGGGTCCCTACTTGTTGTTTCCCAAATTGTAAACCAAGCCATTTGAAAATGAACTGCCTCTTTTGATGGGGGGTGGGCTCCTCCTTACCTCAGAGCCCTTTGCCCTGGAAGGCTGGCAGCATGAGTCAGGCCAACTTGGGTGGCAAAGATGAGCAAATAAGCCAACCCAGGCATATGCATGGCGAGCAACTCTGGAAACTGGTCCAGTATTTGTGGCTGTTTCACTGCTCCTGGTGAACTGTGTTGCGGTCTCCCCTCCCTGTGGCCAAGAGTGGAGCACAGGGACTAGAGATCCTAAAGCAAAGCAAGACACTTTCAACCTGACCCTACGGGTCCTCCACTGGCAAGGGTTAATGGGAGGGGAAATGAAGAAGTGCCCTAAGGCTCCATGACTGCCTCTGTGGGGAAAATCTTGGATTTGGAGCTAAAGAGACCTGGTTTTGGGGCCTTGGCTCTGCCAGTTCCCCTCTCTAGGTCTGTCTTTGCCCCTTTAAAAGGAGGCCATCCGTACAGGATTGAGCTGACGTTAAGCGTGGTAATGGAGTTGAAAGCGCTGTAATCGAAGTGTACTTGACTGAAGGACAAGATATGATCATCATCCTGGGTCACCCCAGGACCCCAAAGAAACTGCAGCCTCCCTCTTGGCATCAGTTTCTTCATCTCTAAAATGAGAATGAGAATTGCCTGGCTCTTAGATCAATGGAATAAAAATTAGTCAAGTGCATTTGAAATGCCAAGAGGCATTAGGAAGATCAGTGCCCTGGCACTTTGGGAGTTGAGACTTGGTGATACATTTAAGCCAAAATAATGAAAATTAACCCTTCCAATCATCTTTGGAAGTCTCTTGCTTTCTCGGGCTACAGATTCCATCTCTCCCCTGAGTCCCCCTCCATGTGGTCAGCTTTGCAGGATGACAGCCTCTGATGGAGGTTCAGTGGTTTCCCAGACGCTTACTGTCTCCGGCTATGATTTAGAATGCATTTGTGTTACACGATTGTTGCTCCCGCCTGACATCGGGGTAAATTAAGATCCCGTAAACCTCCAAAGGCCTTCCGATGGAGCATTGGGCGCCACTGTGCAGGGGTTCAGGGGCTTCCATCTGCATTTTGTGTTCTCCTCTGGTCATGGGTTTTAAAAGCGTCTTTCCCAGTTGTATGTTTACATTGGTTACTTTCTTGATTTCTTTTGTTCCGTTTTCCCCTAGGCCCCCCTGTCTTCCCCCTAAACCACAGAAAATGAGGAGACCTAGGCCTCTCTCAGTGTGTAACCATAAACTATTTAACGGCTGTATGGAAGCGTTCATTAAGGTACTTGTTGGGAGCCGCAGAGTCCGCGAATGTGCCCAATGTAACGGCAGCCTTTCTCCACCTCCTCCCCTCGGCCAGCAGCCCTGCCCCCACCTACCAGAACTTTCCATCTGTGCCCTTGGCCAGACCCTATGGCGAACTAGTTCCTCCCTGCAGCCTGCGCTTAGCTTCAGTGAGGGCTTCTAATCAGAGCTGCTTTTGTCTCTAACCATTGCCTTGCTGTGATTCTCAGGGGTAAGATCACGGTGAAGTCCATGTGGGGCTGAGATGCCAGCACGGTGGTCCCTGCCAGCCCCATGCCATTGCTCCGTAACTGTGGTCCTCACTAGCTGAAGGGACAGTCAGATAAACCCCTGCCTCGCCTCACACCCACGTCTCCCAAGAAGAGCTTGGTTGGAAGCAACACACAGAAAATCCCTGCGGGCAACAGTGTGATTTCATTTTTTTTAGTCAAGACTATACCGGCAAAGGAAACATAAAATCTGGGTGACAGAACACCCTCCTACCCAGTTTTGCTTCTTGTTAGGTGGTTTGGGAGAAGGGAGAAGAGCTGAGGCAGTTGCTTTAGAATTTCCGGTTAACCCTTTATACACCTTAAACGAAAAACGAAAGCGGTTCCACTTAGGTGAGTTTCGCTTGCCTTTCTTGCTTCTTGGACGCAAAGGGTGCAGGATCAAGCCACCTGATGGAATGGCTTGGGCAAATTCAGCTGGTGGTGGAGTTGAAAGGGCAGCAGGTGGGGAAAGACTGAGGAAGTGGAGAATCACTCTTAGCATTAGCCAAGGGGAGCAAGAGAGAAGGTCCCCGCCAGTTACTTCAGAGCTCACCACCATCCAATGGAGACACTTTCTGCAGAAAAGAAGGCTGGTGTCCAACCGGGGAAAGTACGGCTCTTGGGCTTTGCTGGCAGTTTGGGGTAGTGGAGGCTCCCCTGCCCTCTACCCTCCATTCTCAAGGTGCACCCAGGACTTGCAGAGGGGTGGGGCGCAGGATGCCTTGATCTCAGGACTGTCTCGGCCTGGGAGCTGAGTTCTGGGGAAAGGACAGTGGGGCACAAGTGAGACTGCCCAAGTGGGGAGCAGCAGGGGCTGCTTCAGGATACCTCAGAGGAGTGAGGCATGGAGTCCCAAAAGGTGGGGTGCTGTAGGGTGCATCAGGAAAGAGGTCCTAGTTGGAGGTGTCCCTGAGTGAGCACGCTGCCATCTCATAGGTCACAGGAGGATGAGGCTGTGCCAAAAGGGTCCTTCTTTCTTCAGCCTCCCTCCTTTGCCAAGACTGTACCTGGCACCTCCGAAAAGGCCCTCTCCATAGCTGAGCAGGGCTGAAAGGCGTGTAAACTCTTCTCCCTGCCCTCCAGGAGCTTAAAGTGTCAGTCAGGAGGATTTCAACACAGAAAGCTGGAAGGTGATTCAGATGAGCACTTGGTGAATTATCCCAATGGAAACAAGCTCTGTGCGAGCTCAGAGCAAGGAGAGCTGTGCCCTACAGGGCATGGAGGCTTGGGGAGGAGGTAGGGCTTTGAAAGGAGGGTAGGACAGAGGAGTCTCTGAAAGGAGAAACAGAATAACAAAGGCTCAGAGACAGAGATGCCTTCTCCACTTTGCTCAGCTCTTTGGAAATGGGCAATGAGTGAGGACACAGAAGGAGCTGGTGCTTACCTGGCAGGATTGGAAAGTTAAGTGTTCTGTCTGAAGAAATAGTCTCTCAGATGGCAGCTCCTACATAATGTGAGACCGCCCGGTCATCCTACTTTATTCCTCCTGACAAACACATCAGAACTTCTCCAGCCATCTGACAGTTTGCTCCTTGGAGGTGGCCACCCTGGGCAGCTACATTCTCCTTCTAATGATACTGTATTGCTCCAGCTGGCCAGTCTTCCTCAGAGCCTGCAGCATGGCCTTTGTCAGTGGTGCCAAACTTTGCGTTAGGACGGACACCCTGGTCTTTCAAAGCTCAGCTTTGCAATGCCACTGGAGGTACAAAATGGCAAGAGGCACATGCCAGGGTGGGCTCGTGGACTGGCTCTAAAAAGACCCCCGAAAGGGACACCCCAGAGCACTGATCCAGGGCACAGCCTCCTCAGGGGACTATTTGACTAAAAAAAAAAGATATGTTTAATGATTACATTTCTGTATAGTTACACTGTACTTATGCCACATGCTGTCAGTGCAGTTCAGCGAACTCCTGAGCACCTGCTGTGAGAGAGGCAGTGTGTAGACAAGCTTGCATGCAGCATGGTCTTACTCTCAAGGATTATTAACTTTCAGAGAATGAAAGGGCAGTGTAACATGGTCAATTCTTCACCTTCTGAACAGAATTTAGCTCTCTCTTATGATTCACATGCTATCTGGAAGAACATTCTGCGTGGACTAAGAACCCCGAGCTTTGAAATGCCAAACCTGTGAAAGGCTTTCCAATAAAATAACATCACAGGGACCCCATGATTACGATGGTTTGCAGGGTGGAAAATGTCCGGCCTGCGGCCATGTCATTTCGTCTGGCCCTGCCAAAGCAACTGCAGATGGGACTCAAAATTCAATAAATCTAGGAGCATAGATACTTTTTCATAGCAACATAATTTTTAAGTTGATAATTTCATATGGCCCACAAATAATGTTATAAATATCCAGATGGCCCTTGGCAGAAAAAAAGGTTCCCCAGGCCTGGTTTTGAGGGACAAGGAAGCATCCCCAAGTTAAGAAGGACAGATACATTTTGCTAGAGTTATATAATACATTTCTAGGGCCCTACCTTTTTGAATTGACCTTTTTCAGAGTCCTTGATTTTTTTTCTCCTCTCAGATAGAAAGAAACCCATTTTTATTACAAAATTTGAAGCCTGGGAGGTCTGCCCCTGGGCAGAGGGGGAGTCCTCGCCCAGTATCTATAAAACCCTGTTTCTATAATTACCTGCCTCACAGTGTGTGATACTCTTAACACAAATGAGCTGAGAGACGTCATCTTTCCAGAGCACCGCCCGGCACTCAGTGAGCCCTGTGGACGTGTTGGCTGTTATCATTGTCATTAGCTGTTAGGAGATTGCACACAGAGCCCCATCCGACCAGGCTGTTTGCTCAGTTCTGGGAGGCAGGTGGGTTTAGCCAACATATAATTCCAGTTGTTGAGATGCCGGCAACTGGACAGATAACACCCACTAACCTGCACATTCTTCAGTTTCTTAGTTCAGCTCCTCAGAAGCCTGGATGGGACACAGCACCTCCCCAGAGCCTGACTGCTGCACTTATGGGGGGAAAGAGCATGCTCCCCTGAAAAGGGGTGGCTCAGTGGCCTTAGTGAAAGCACAGGCAAGTTTGGGAAGGCATTCTGACTCTGCTACCCCCCACCCCCACAGCCTCTCTCAGCTTTGGGTTCCCTGAGGTGTTCTCAGTGCTAGGGTGAGGGTGTAGGGTAGGAAGGGAACAAAGCCCCATGGCTACCCAGGACAAGCTACCTACCCAGGCTGTTTGGTAGGAAAGCAAGGGAAGCTGTTGGAGTTTTGAATCAGGCAGAATCCTGTTGGGAGCCATCCAAAGGGCACGTGATACACATGATCTTGGTAAAATTCGCTTTTTCCCAGGAATGAGCTTTCCTGGGCTGAATTCCAGGGGCAGCATTGCAGGTGTGTGGGCAGCTGGGCTCTTGCCCAGTAGTGAATAAGGAGCCCCTGTGTCGAGAAGCCAGGGATGGGATGAGGAAAAGGCTCAGTGCACGCTGTTCCTCCACTCTGACAAGGACTGAAAGCCCCTATGTCACCTGGTGTCCAAGACAGCAACGCTGAAAGGAACTCCCACGAGGCCCCGAGATGCAGGGAACCCCGCCCCACGCAGGCTGGCTGGCAGGCCCCCCGGACCTTTGCTGGCTGCCCTTGCATTTGGGCGTTCACGGACTCTGAAGGATCTGCTCACTCTAACTGGTCTTACTCCTGCATAATCTTTTCTTTTTCTCCTGCTCTGCTGCCTGTTTATTTTTTGTTATCAGAGGAAGAAGAAATGCTCGAACCAGGAACCAGGTACTTACTAGAAAGGTCCGGTAGCCCCTTCAACTGGAGAAACCTGTCTGTAGTGCTGACGTTAGAACAGGGCCCGCCTTGCCTGTCGCCAGCGGGTCTGTGCTGTTATTCCCTCCCTGAGCAGTCAGTCAAGGAGACAGTTCCCGGGTGGGGTGCGGAGGAGCCACGAGAGCATCCGAATGCCCTTTACAAGAGTATATTGCAAATGCCTTACTGTTTCCTCACTGTCTGGGGAGGCTGGTCATTTAATCTGACCCCTTTTAAAGAGAGTTTAAAAAATATTAAGTGCTCTTTCGTGACCTGAAATAGCAGAGAGGCCAACCAATCACAGAATTCAAAAGAAAATTACCCCTTGCCCAGCCCTTGGCGGCCATGGGCCAGTCTAGGAAGATGTAATTGAAAATACATTCACACCCCAGATGCCTGTGTTTAGAATTGCATCTTAGTCAGCCTGTTTGACTAAAATTGGCCACTCCGTGGTCAAGGGCTGACTTACTGTTTCTAGAACCTTTGTTTATAACACTGCTAAACAAGTATCTGTCTGGGTGTTTAGGTTGTAACATCCTGAGTGGAACTGGTCTTCCCTTCTCAGGGTTCAAAAGGCCCCTGGGTCCAGCCTGGCGCCTCCCATAGTGCGTTCTTCTTAATTCCGGCATTGGGTACCGCCATCCTGGGAGGAGGCCTTGGCCCTGCTTGCTCATCCCTGAGCGCTGAGGGAATAGCTTGAGTTGGGGCAAAGTGGCGTGGGAGGCAGAGAACCCTGCAAAAGCTGACTCCAGCCCCTCCACCCTTCCAGAGTGCCTATCAGGCCTCCTGGGCCCTGATTCCTTCCCAGCGGAGTAAGAAGACAGAGCATTTCTTTAAAATTATCATAGCTATGCCTTTTTTTGCACTTAACTGAAGACTTTCTATTTTAACTGTTTGTGGAGCCTTTAGGATTAGCAATTCCTTGCTTGTTTTCCTACTAATCTGATGGTACTAATATTCTGGCTTGAGTTTATAATCTGTGTTTGCAATGTCTGTTCTCCCGTGGTGGTTGCCAAGCCCAATAAAACTCACAAATTTTTTTCTTAAGGATTCGGGACAAGCTATCCCGCTGGTAGTTGAGAGCTGCATCCGATACATCAATTTATACGGTAAGCTCAATCATGGGGCAGTGTTTTCAGCTCTTTCCAGAGCAGGTTAGGCTTTCTCAAAGGAAATGGATATGAATTCATCTGGAAGACTTCCTGTCACTGCTCTGCTTCCGACAGGAGACGCTCCGCGGAGCAGCTGCCTTTCTGAGTGCTATCTTTTGAGCCTTGTGGGTCAGGGATAGAAAGACCCAGGAACGGGGAAGGTCAAGGTGGGGAAAAAAGGAGACATATGTAATACTTTTTGTAATACTTTAAGCAATAAAACAACAAAAAAAATTTTTTAAAAAACAAGAAAGACCCAGGAACTAGGAAAACTGAGGAACAGGGAGGGCATGGACTGGAGAACCATCTTAGCTCCTTCCTCACTCCCACCCACCCCAGAGCTCTGTGCTGTGAGCACTGAATGTAGCTGGTGTCAGTCAGTTAATACTGCAAGTGTGTAGTAAGCTCCATGAAGGGAACACAGTGTCTGGGATTGGCTAACCACGGTATCCTCAGCACTTAACTCATGCTTTCATCGATTTATTTATTCATTCCTCCAAAAATACTTTTTTCAGAGCGCATAGTAGGCACTGTTTGGACAATGGGAATATAGATACCAGCCAATATAACATAGCTTATATTACCAATTAGAAGGTCAAGGAAATAAACAAAGCAGAGAAATAAACATTAATTTCAACCAGCAATAATGCCTAAAAACTAATGAAGAGGGAATACAAATGACTGGAGCAGGGCAGGGCTGGTTTGGCTAAGGTGGTGAGGAGAGACCGCTCCCAGAGAGTAGTTAAGACTCCAGGCCCTTTAAGACTCCAGTGAGTAGAGGAAGCCAGCCATGCAGTCCAGGTGGAGAGAAAGACAAGTGTAAAGGCCTAATATGGGACAAAGGCCAATGTGACTGGACAAGTGGGCCAGTGACATAGGGGATAGAAAGTCAATATTGGTTAACGAAAGTAATAAACAAGTGTCTATCAAGCAAATGCTTTGTACAAACCAAACTTTGACAAAAGCCTACCTTTTAAGAGTAATTGCTTTCCTAAATTATAATGTGGAGAGTTGTCGTATGTAGGAAAACTGAATCCAGGAAAAGGATCAGAGTATCCTCCATTAATTCCCATTTAAAAGGAGGGAGGTCTTTCAATTCCCTCAACCCTATGGGCTGCTGTATGTCATTACTGTTAGGGCAGGTATTAGGGTCTCCTTTGTTCTGGCCTTGTAGAAACGCTTGAGAAAAATGAGACTGTCTTTAATGATGTAATCTCTTCTAAATTTCTCAATACCAGGGCAGCATGTACTTTAGAATCTAGCTTTTCTTGAAGGAAGGAAATGTCTGTGTTAGGGGAGAGAGGGCTGAGGCAGTGGATTTAATCCTTGTTCAAAATCTCTGTGGCTGTTTCACTCAAATGCCATTTATAAACTCAGGCCAAGCTCCTTGGTGCCAGTGCAACTGGTAAACTCAGTAGCCATGTGCACCAACCAGTTATTTGCCTGAGCTGACATTGGTTAAATTGGAAGTTATTCATTGATCCCGTCTTGGTAATAAACTTCTCGTGGCCTTTTCCTCCAAACCCAGACAAGAGACACAGACATATGGAGCAGGATGTGTCTGAGTATTCTGGTCAGCCACACTTCATTTCAAAGGTTATTTTGGGTTTCTACCAGGACACCTTCATTGGGGGAATGACTCTCTTACAAAGGATGGTGGGAGAAAGAGATAGCAGTGGGGTGAGTCATCAAAGTTCCCAGTGGTCTGATGAGATCAAGGCCTTATGGCATTTTTCTCTTTCTTTCTTTTTTGTTTATTTGGTTTTTCTTATAGGACTCCAGCAGCAAGGGATCTTCCGAGTGCCAGGATCTCAGGTTGAAGTCAATGACATCAAAAATTCCTTTGAGAGAGGTAGGTGCAGAGTGACCATTTCAAGCTTGTGGCCAGGGGAAGCCAAGGTGGGTGTTAACACATGTCTTAGAGCCAGTGGTGTGCAGTGACTCCACATTGGTAGCTTGAAATCAGCCATGGTGGGAGTATTTACACCACGGAAATTGGCAAACACAAAGATCTTTTATTTTTATTTTTCTCCTCCAACGAGCTAGCTGTTAAGCATTTACTAGCACACATGGGTGGCTTTTTTTCTGGTGGGCCATACAGTGGTTGCTGGGAAAGAGGGCCTTGTAAAGCTCTCTGGAATGATTATGTGAGTCTGCAAAGACTGCTATGTTTTACAAACATTGGAAGAACATAGATAACACTGAGTGGCTTTTAGAATATCCTAATTCTTAATTTTATATGTAGTGTTTTTGGCAAAACTACACATTGGGAGGAAGAGACTATACATTCCTCCCACCCTCAGTGAGGTTATCTACTTCTCACTTTGATTAATCAAGGGTGTAAAGCTTATTAGAAATGAAGTGACTGTCACAATAGGAGCACATGTGGCTTGTTTGGTGTAACCTCCCTTGGCCTCAGATTCCTGATGGGGACAGATAGATGGCCAGTGACAGTGTCCATGCAAAGTGAGGATTCATTGGGTCAGGAGTTCAATTCTTAATCCACCTCTGCTTTTTATACTAGGTGCTTATCTCACAGCCTAAATAATATCTTTGCCTCCAGTTCACCACCATTTTGGAAGAATAACATCTCCACAGTTTACTCCTCTTAACTCTCACTTACTGCCTTTTTCTCTGTGTGGTTCTGATATTAAGTTTTATCCGAGGCCCCCAATCTCAAACTCATTTCCCCACAATAGAGCACATCCCAGCTTTTTAAAAAAAATCTTCACCTGAGGATATATTTATTGATTTTTAGAGAGAAAGAAAGAGGGAGAGAGAAACATTGATCTGTTGCCTCCCTCACACACCCCAAACATAGATTGAACCCACAACCTTTTTGGTGTACAGGATGACGCTCCAACAAACTGAGCCACCCAATTTACAAAGCACTTCCTTACACGTTGTTCTAACAGCCTTGGGAGATGTACGGTTTATTCCCATTGGCTGTGCTCTGGACAGGCCTCCCCTGGGGTTCCGGCCCTAGAATTCTCCCTACTTATTACGGAGCTTCCCCTGGAGGGGCTGCCTCCTGTGCACACTCATCCCCTCCCTAACTTCCCAGTTCCATCCTGAGGTCTAGCTCAGGGTGGAGAAAGCATTCTGTCAGCTCCAGGTGGTCACCACCAGAGCCTGCAGCCCAGCCCTCTGAGGCCCTAGGCCAGGGGTGGGCAAACTTTTTGACTCGAGGGCCACAATGGGTTCTTAAACTGGACTCAGAAGAAGGAGCTGCGGCCGTGTTTCCCAACGTTGCCATGTTAACACTGCTGCTGGTGAAGTAGCCGAGGGGAGAGCAAGAGAACCCTCCGCTCCTTCGGCTCTGCGGGCTGGATAGAACAGCCCACGGCTGCCCTAGGCACTCTGACTTGGAGCCAGGGGATTCCACACCCTGGGAACAGCATGTACAGAGGCCACAAAGCAAGAGGTCTCCCCATCAGCATCCCTGATGGAAGTGTTATTCATCATCCCCTGAGCTTCTCTTGACCACACTGGACAGCACAGTCCAGAGCTTTGTTTCTTCATTTCCCCAACTCCTTAGCACCCCTGCTGCCCTGGGTTCATTGTAAATGAGTAGATATGGTCAGGAACCTTTGCTGGTCCCATCTTCCTGGGCTCATCCCATTATAGAGAATTCCTTGAATCTCATGGGTAAACTCACCGCATTTTCCTGCTTCCCCATGTCCTGTAAGTAACCTCACTGTACCAGGCAGGCAGGCCCTATCCCCACCCCAGAAGCACTGCCTTCATTCCTTCTTGGATGTGGTTTTTCTAAGTTTAACACCTTTTGTCACTTGCTTGGGTGCCTTGCAGGGGTGATATGAAATTTATAAGGACTCTCTGCTCCTAACAAGCCTTAGATCACCCCAGGCAAAGCCCTGGAGGGCAGAGATCACCTGACCCAAATCTGCCGCAAAGAATACCTTCTGCTTTTCCTTTGCTATGCAGTTGGCTCCTTTCCCTCTCTCCACCATTCCCAAGTGAATCTCATTCTCTTGCTAGCCTGAAGCTACAGTGAAGCATGGCTAATTCCAGAAGAATCATTCTTGGTATGTCTCTTTTAAGAAAAATCCATTCCTGGCTTCTTTGGGCTGACTAGTGCCCAGATTTCTCACTTATTCTTTTCTCTTTCTTGGCATTCACCAACCAACTGCCCTGGCTTAGCGTCCTCACCCAGCTGACCCTCAGGGCACCCCTCCCACTTCTCCTGAAAACCCATGGTGTTTCTCCCCCTGTCCTCCCACCCCGACTCCCAACAACAGCCAGGTGACAGCCAGGTGACCTGAGCTTGCTCCGGGCTCAGCATTTCTTTTCTCACCCACTCTCCACGGCCTACATGCTCAAACGTGTGACAGAACTTTCTTTCCAAACCAGGACATTGTGTGTTTTTCCTTCCTTTCTTTTATTTTGTGAAATTTAAATCCCCAGTGCGTGCAGGGTGCCTGACCTTCACCACTTGCTCAGAGAGCGGGTCTTCCCTTCTCTGGAGCAGATGGTCTTGCCCATGTTTCCTGTACGGGGTGGTTGAAAGCACCAGTCTCTTTTCCTTAATCTTCTGGACAGACATGCGTGGTTTACTATTTCTAAACCCATTTTCTTATTCTTCTGACACAAGTCAACCGTGGTTTTAGTTGAGGTTATTATTATTCTCCTCTTTATTGCTGTCAATAAATCTTAGACTCACTTCTCCAGTGTTGAGATCTTCCTGTCATCTTCTGGCAAAATGAAGGAGAGAACATTAAGGAAAGACAGGACTGGGCAGCTGGGCCTGGGGGAGAGCCGAGGCTTGCTGTTGGCTCCCAGGCCAGTTCTCCATCTCTGTTTTCCCCACAAACCAACCCACATCCTCTTTATACATCAAGGTGAGGGGGCTTCCAGGTCTCTCCTGTGTGGAGGGGAAGGGACCCAGTGACTCTTTCGCCCTGCACCATCAAGATGGGGTTTGGACTCATAGCCTGCATGGCTGACACATCCTGGCCTCAGCCTGGCCCTCCCAATACTATTTCCTGCCTCAGGAGAAGGGGTATGACCAGGAGACATAGGAGGGGCTGTTGCGTTGAGGAGCCTCAGGAGGGGCATGTGTGGCCCTGTGGCCACAGAGAACTGCCCTGTGAGAGAGACTACCTGCACCTTCCTGCGGTGCCGGTCCTGCAGCAGGGCCCTCTGCAGCCTTAAGCACACACGGTGTGTTCATACCCTGCCCTGGACACAGCCCTGCCTTAACTCCCAGGTGACCTGGCTGAGAGTACACTGTAGGCGGGGCCATTTTGTTAACCATCCTAGCTCCCCCAGGACATACACTAGCTAATTGTGAGCACAGCTTCTCTCGACCTGCCTGACATTTTAGCTGTCATTGTCCTCCTGAGGAAGCCAGCATGCACACGAACCTGCTCACCTCAAGTTCTGGAATTCCATTCATTTCCGGAAGCAGAAGTGACTAGTTGCAGAGAGCCAAAGGCCTAGGTTAGGAGGGAGGAATTTCTGGACGGCTCCTTTTGTGGACTGAGTTGTCTTCTGGGAGTCAGAGCAAGAGTGAATGGTGTGTGTGTGTACAAAGTCAGTGCGTTAATCATGCTTAACAAGGGGAGCTAATAGGGAGACGTGAGCTCACTTGTGCATGATGAAAACACAGGAGCAATGTGTGGTAAATATAAGGAAACAGCTTAATATAGTGCAGAGTTTTAGAATGCGTGTGGTCCTTCGGGGGGGGGAGCAAGGGTTGTTACTGGGAGAGGGAGACTGAAGAGATAGGCTTGGACCTCTCCCCCTATTCAATTAAGACAGTTTTGTTCTATATGTTAAATATTCATAGGAACTGTTTTCTTGAAAGAAAGAAAAAGGTTGGGATTCTATAGAGGAAGGAGGGAGGGAGAAATGGAGAGAAGAAAGGAAGGGAGGAAGGGAGGGAAGGAAAGAGGGAGGAAAGGGAGCAGGGAGAGGATAGAAGGAAGGGAAGGAGGAAGAGAGGGAGGAAAGGAGGAGAAGGGAAGGGAGGGAATAGAAGGAAGGGAGAGAGGGAGGCAGGCAGAATTGAAAAGGTGGAAGAAGGGCTATCTCCCAAGCAGTATGAGGTCTGGGAGAGGCTAGTGTCTGGTTTTGACTTCATGAGGGTGGGCAAGTTGTTTCACTTGCTGGGGCCTCAGCTTTCTCCCAGGAGAGAATGGTGGTGTTGGAACCACGCCCCCCTGGTGCCCTGCAATGCTGCTTGAGGATTAGAGATCACGTGTGCGAATGTGCTACATGAGCACAGGCAGTGGTTGTTTCATGCTTTTTCTCTTCCTTCCCCATGAGAAAGTCTTGTGGGGAGCATTCTCTCTCTTCCCGTGGGGACATCTGAGAGCTCGACCTGTGGAAGGAGCAGCAGTGTCCTGGCTGCCACATTCGGTCATGCAGGTTGGGCACTGCACAAGGGTGCTCAGCCAAGAGGGCAGGAGGGAGGCGGCTCTGGCTCGTGCTCTAGATGCCACAGCCCCAGTCCAGGAAGGAAGGGGGGCGTTCTCTGAATTGCACTACAGCACGTTGGGGCTCGCAGAGGCCCTGCAGTGACACGCATCCTCTTCCTACGGAGGCAGGGAAAAGAAAGCCAAGGACGAGTTTCCAGTTCTGCTCCTCATGGCTTGCCAGTCCTAGAGCGCCCTGGGCTGTCCTGGGAGGCGGGCCAGACACCATTGTGCAGACCTCTCACAGCGCCTTCCAGAGGTGGCAGCTTGCTCCCTGCTTCCTCTCACCTCCCCCACAGAAGCCATCCTAGCTCAGCAGTCCCTGGTGTGAACTAGCTCAGCAGCCCCTGATTAAACTGGAAAGTGCTGCTCTCCTGAGAGATTATTTGCCCTGTCCAGTTGGCAAAAACTCAGAAGGCTGACACCTTTCCATGAGCAAGGCTGGGGAAAAAAGCATTCTCCTGGGTTGTTAGTACGAGTGTAAACTGTGCAGCCCCAGTGGAGAGAAAGTCAATATAGCAAAGTGAGTGTAAGTGAAGGGTGGTGGGTGGTTGTTATTTCAATTTTACAACATTCCTCTAGGTTTGAACATTTACAGAATCAGTTGCACTCAGAGCACTGTGAGAAAGAATTAGGGAGAACTTTAAACTTGCTGTGTTGAGGAGGTCCCATCTGCCTGCTCCAGTTCAGGCTGGCCTGGGTCCTCTCTTCTGCCATCTGCATGGTCCCCGCCTCCTTATCATCACCCCGTTTCCTCACAGGTGAAGACCCCCTTGTGGATGATCAAAATGAACGAGATATCAATTCCGTCGCTGGTGTTCTAAAACTGTATTTCCGAGGACTGGAAAACCCTCTCTTTCCTAAGGAAAGGTTTCAAGATTTGATATCTACTATTAGTAAGTATTTCCCAGGTGGAATGATCATTTTCTTGAGAAATCTTTATTGAGATTCCACTATGGGCTCATCACTGTGCTAGGCACACATGGGGGACACTGTGAAAGAAGCAGCATGGCTCTTGTCCTCATAGAGCTTAAAACCTAGTTGTAGAAATAACAAGGTGGATTATAATGCAAGAGTTCGTGGGCATGGTACACCCCTGGGTATGGAAGGAGCTCAGAAGAGAAGAGAGGAAGACTTAGTATCCAGATTTTAGCTGAGAGTGATATGCATGGTGCAAGAGGCTGGAAGGGTGCAATGGAGCAAGAGGGGGAAGACCTTGAATGCCTTGCAAGGATTACAGAGATTTTCCCTTTGGGAAATGGAGAGCCATGGAGGGTTTGGGAGTTCAGGTCAGCAATATGTCGAACAAGGGAAGTGCTGAAAGTAAGTTGACTAGCATCTTCCTCTGACTCGCTAGCCATCAGAGTCCTCCTTGACTGATATGTCTGTGGATGAAGTGAGTCGTCCTGTCCAGGAGCTTGAAGTAAAGGCGCCTTCACTACAAGATGCCAAAGCCCAAGGCAACTTTTTGGGAATATTTTTTTTAAACTTTTAATATTAGAATATGGGAATTTTAGTATTTTGGAATAAACTCTTTAATATGATCGATAGAAAATTAGCCCATTGGGGATGCTTCTCACAGTGCTCTGAGAGAGATTTGCAGCCAAGCATGTGTCCTAGGAGGTGGTGACAGCTGCCTTGTGTAAAGGACCTTCTTCACCGCCCCCTGCCCTCCACACTACTTGCTCCTCATCTTTCCAGACCCACTTCAAGCTCCAATTCAGCTCTCAGGAATTCCAGGCCACAAAGGTCCCACCTTGTCTGAGCCCTGTGTCCCTTGCTCAGCCAGTGTTCCCAGTCCCTGAGCAAGGCCCTCAGCAGACAAGGTCATTGACCTCCGGAACAAACTCCTGGCACTGGATAAGTTGAATCACACCCGGAATCACACAGTGAGAAACAATGTCCCTTCTTAGTTTCTTCCCAAACCCTGTGATCATCGACATCAAGGAGAAGACCTCATGGGTCAATCTCCCTTCTACACAGAGAGACAGAATTTAGTCTCAGGAACTTTTGTAGAGAACCATGTCTACATATAACTTAGTAATATTGCTTTCCTTACATTATATCTATTTTTATGTTACCTTCTAATTATGGTAAGTGATCCTGGTTTCTCACTTATAGAGTGAGGTCAAGTCTCCTTTTTAAATAAATATTTTTAAGAAAAAAATTAATAAATAATAGTGGAGGTGATACTAGGGCACAATGACTAGAAGCTGAGGATGTGGAGCAGCAGCGGATCAGTAAAGGTACAAGGGCCTTAATTTTGTGGGAAGGCTTCGGCGAGGCTCCCTGGAGCCAGACCTTGGTAGTCTGCAGTGTGCCCGACAGGGAAGAGAGATCAACAGTGTGTGCAAAGGCCCAGGGACAGGCAGGTTCTTTGTGAGAGGGAGATGGTGGATAAAGTGGCCTGGCACAGAGTTTCACAATGGGGAACTGTTGGCAGTGAGGGTAAAGCAGTACCTTGTGTGTTACCTACACTCAGGACACTTAGCACCTTGCCCCTGAATCCCAAATGCCAGTGCACCCTCCAGTCTCTGACAACCTCAAAGAATGCCTCATATATTTGTAAATTCCCCTAGAGGTACACTACTTATTTGAGAAGCATAGCTCTAAATCATCCTCACGTACTTTTTGAAGGGGCAGTGACTAGGAGATGGTTCATGCAAGGTTGGTTGAAGCCCCATCATAAAGAGCCTTGGATGCAGAGGAGAAACAGGAGTAGTGTTTTAGAAGAAGCATGTTGACAGATGTGGAGACTGGAGGGAGGAGCTATATGAGAAAAAAAATGTGTTTTCTGAAAAAGAAACTGACATGGATTTGTGTATGAGCCCTGCAGATGAACATCAGAGCTTCAGCAGCTCACTCTCCTGAATGCCAGCTTTCCCTTTCCACGAGGCAAAGTCCAAAAAGCACTTTTCTCTCCTTATCAAGCCCAATTTGCTGCTCCCATCCCTGGCCTGACTGATAAAAATACCAGTGTCTGTCTCCTAGGATTGACCTGAAAACAGAGGTCAGAGACGAGATCCCAAGCACCTGCCAGGCTCTTTGGCCAATATATAGTTTGAGAGACAGTTATTTATTCAACACATTTCCTGAATACCTACTATGTGCCACCTTATGTTGTAGCTGGTGTTTATAAAGAGTTTAATGAAACATGGGCTACCTGTATTCATCAGGACTCGTGGGTTACAGGCGACAGAAACTCAACTTATACTGGCTTAATCCATCAAAGGCAATGTCTTGGCTCCTGTTCCTGAAAGTTAGG